TTTCAAAAATCTTCTCCCTCCTTTTGAAATCTCTTCTTATTTTTTAAACTTAAACCACTTTCATAATAAACTTGTACCTAGGTCCATGCATTTTCAAAACCTTTTCATAAATAAAATTCAATCAACTTAATAATACCTTGACATTTTTTATGAGAAGAATAAAAGTCAATCAATCTCATTTCAAACCATTTTGCCACTTTGGATTTTACTTTAAACTTTTCTCAAAAGATTAGACTCTTGTCAATCCTTGTAGTGATGCAAACAACTATACTTCTACAATATGTAGTGAAGTGATATATTTTCCACTTGGATGTTGAGTGAGGCATTGTTGATTTTAAAATCCAAGCCATATCCTCCACTTTGAGATGATGCAAATTCTCCTTTGTCATAATTGTGGGTAGTAAGTATATTTTCCACACGGACAATGACGATGATGTCTTATCTCATAAAATTAACCAACACACTTGTGTTTTAAATTTTTTAAAGGTGAACTACGAGTACCCTGATCCCCTATTGCACGGAAGGTGGTACGTAGGCACTAAAGGTTTGCAACTGTGGCGGGTGCAAAAATCATAAAAATACTTCTTTTCTCACCTCCACCATCTATTTTTTATACAACATTTTATAGCCAAAATATACAGATTTTTCAAAGAGGTTCCTGCGGAGTACCATAGATGTTTAGGTTGCTAATACCTTCCCTTTGTATAACCAACCCCCTTACCTTGAATCTTTCCCCCTCTTTTGGGTTATTCACTCTTTTCCCATTCCTTTGGAAACAATAAAGCGCGGTGACAATTTTATTTTTGATCTGTACAAGTCTAGTCAATCTAATGGCTTAGTCTTAAACATTTCTACCGCAACATAGATCATCTAATGTATTCTCTCAGAAAGAGAAAGCCATTATGATTAAAGGAAAGTTGAGTCAAGGATGTCATCCTTGACATCTCAACATTGTCCTTGACAAGAGAGATTACATGATACCTCAAGAGATCCATAGTCTAGATGTTACACCAGGATGCAACATCATCAGTTGCAAGATCTCAAGAACTTGTCCTATGAGTATAATCAACTCTGGCCAAGTGAGAGTTATGGAGGGAGATTACAGGTGTATGCCCTCATCTTACATAAGTATCCTTAATCTGTCTTGATTGAAGATGCTGATGGAGGTGAAGTCATCATCATTCTGGTGAATATCTTTGGGTTAGTTTGTTTCTGATCTAATTAACAGGAACACATGAGCCAAACCTCCGTCTATGAAGGAGATAGTAATATGTACTCTGCTAAAAAATGGTTGAATATTCCTCCATCAAGATTCTATAAAGGTCAAGTTCAAATATCGAGGACATTCACTCTTTCATCTAGAAGATTCTTCGTACCAAGAGGAGTCAGATTTGTGTGATCTTGCTTGTGACTACTCTAGTCAAATGAAATAGGTCCTGAGCAGAAATTGATCGAAATGGCCAATTGGTGTTTCTCAAACTTTATATCGTTATCAAGTCTATGAGAACATGGAACTCTTGTTCTGTTGGAATGAAAAAGACATCCAAGGTAGGATGATTTATGTAAGTATAAAGAATAGATCTCTAAAACTATCTTAGGCGGAGAAAGTACTAAACAATTTGTTTATAGTATGATGCTCATTCAGTACCATAGTTGTTATAGTCAGGTATCTGTTAGAGAGAATCTCCTCCTTGGGTGCATAAGGATGGTGACTAACACCTTAAAGTCAGATAGGAGGTCTCGACATTCTGCTTATGAGAAGAAGCTTCTTGAAGTGTGTAAAATGTGGGTTACTGCAGCTTTAGATTCAGAGTTGAAATGTCTGATCCTGGTGGAAAGTAAAGTCAAGCCACTAGCCAAATATGGTGTGGTTTATTGTTAAAATGACATTCATGACTGTTTGACATTATGAATAACCCCCTTGCACTAGTAGTGTGCCAAAGAAAGATGTTAGACCAATTGTTCTACCATGAGAAGGTAGACTTATCTGCTGATTATATCTCTAAGAGATAATGTGAAGGAAGGAACATGAGGAAATGTTCACCTCATATAGTTGTGCGTGTGAGTAATGTCAAATCCTCTGTGCTTGACATCTTGACTCATTAAAGAGGGGAGTTATGTAATTGCCTTGTGTGTTGCTTCAAAAAGGTGTAATAAAGTTTATATCTCTCCATGGTTTTCAAGTGTGTGAAGCAGTATCCTGTGGAGATATTCTTGTGTCTAAGACTTCTTTGCTGACCATAAGTCCTATGGATGGTATATTAAGAATCAAAGTAAAAGGATTATGTAGTAAGAAGCAATTGTCTTATATGATGTTATATCATCATGCTTGAGACTATGAATATGGGTCTCTGATCTATCCACAATGGTGTGTGTGATGAATGCATAACTGTTGTCACATTAAAGATTTCTGTTGTACTAGTAGTTTCTAATAGGTGCAAAGGATGGGTATCAGATAGTGTGATCTGATCAGAATACTTGTGGGAGATGGTTCCTTCTGCTGCAAGTAACTCTAGAAAAGTTTGTATCCTTCTGGAACTTGTGAAGCAAGCAAGCTAAGACTTTGTTCTGGAGTATGTGAGTATTATCAAACACAGTGTGCATGATATCTTGTCTATTTAGAGAGTCATGGTTATGTGTGTGGACTTATAAGGCCATTTGTTAAATATGTCCTTGTTGAGTGGAAAAGCCAGGGTACTTTTGATATGTTCTCAAGGAGCTAGAGTATCTAAATCAAGATTGATCATACAATATGTGAATATGATCATCAAATATGTGAAGTTCTTCATGTGATTTCATCTGGTGCTCAAGTGTTAATCTTCAGCATGAGCACTATTTGTCCTTAACAGGGGGAGTGAAGTACTTGTCTATGGATTGTTCTTCAGTAGTTTGCTCAACGATCAAGCTTGTGAAAGTGTTATATCTTGTGTGAAGGTGTGATGTCAGACAAGATGTTTTTACATATGGATACTAGATGTAATTCCTTGTGTTCTTGACATGGTATGAATTGTCCTAGCCATGTGAAGTTGATTGGGTGAATCATGTGTACACATGTTTCTTAGGAGCCCTCTAAGAGACAATATTCTTGTATGGGAGAATTTATTTTTCTTCGCAGATTTAGATAAGGGAAAATGGATGCCTTGGTGAATAAATTGGAGATGTCACACAGGGTGTCTTGATACCATGGTAGTTTCACCATTGTTGACTGAAATGTGTGTGCTTAGAGTCTAGTGGAAGGCAGCGTGAACATGCTTCAGAACCTAGTTGTCCAAAATAGATTACTAGTGTAAGTAATAAGTTCGTCTAAGAGGGGAAGTGAATTAGACCCTTTTAAATTTTCTCGCTTTTTGGTGAAGATGGATTTATTTTTCTGGTTCAAGTTGATATTTAGAAAGCAATAAAGGTGCAGAAAAATAAATGACACAGGGATATATCCTGGTTCCCATTACAATCCGAGTGTAATCCAAACCCCTTTCAACACGATAGAGATTTCACTATTATTGGTAACTTTTACAAGACAAACTAAACCACCAAGAACAATCCTCTTGGATTTTCACTAAGTCCAATAAGAGAACAATCCTCTCTTGCTTCCAACAATCCTGGACAACAAGGATACAACAAATATTTTGATTTTTTACAAGAGTTGAGTTGAATTAAACAATGTATCAATCACTTGATCGATCTTCTCTACTAATCATGCAATTTATAAGGATAATAGGTGCCCAAATGTTGATGAGTTATTGTATGAATTTTCTGGACTGGTTTATGAAACAATGCAGAAAAATTCTTTTAAAAGTTTGATAATCACAACACTTGATTTGAAATTTTGAATGAATAAGATGATTTTAAATTGCAATTGGAAGAGGTGATTTCAAATATGAAATTATAGTGCATATATACTGCCTTAAAACCCTTTAGAAAGAGTGCAATTTATTGAAATTATGTGTATTTGAAAAGGTGTAATATTGAAAATGTTCATATTTAAAACAATCATTTTTGGCTCTGTCACACTCAGGAAATCGATTTATAAAGATGGGTAACTAATTTTCATCAAATGTTTCACCCGTTTTTTGAAAGAATTGTGAAGGAAATCGATTTACCTTATAGGGGTAATCGATTTCTATGTGAAAAAATTGTTTTCCTAAAAAGCTGAATGGTTGAAATACGAAGGGGAAACTGATTTACCATATAGGGGTAATCGATTTCCTGAGTTGAAATATGAAAAATATTTTTCTTTTCCAGCCAAACCATAATTCAATAAGTGTAAATATGGTTTATGCATGCATATGTATTATGGATTATTTTGAGCACTTATTTATCAATATAAACACATGTTTGTACCTATAATCCATAAGCTCCATATAGTCTTCAAATGAATCTTGAAACTTCATGCTAGCTAGACTTGGACACTTAAGAGGTAAAATGCTTCTAAATTCCTTGACACACCCTTTCTTGATTCACTTGCATATATGTTGACTTCATCAAAACATGTAATTTGGAAAAGCTTGACTTCACATTCTCCACCTTTTTTGATGATGACAACCATTGAAACTTGAGATGTGTGAGAAGCTTGATTTGCTAAAATGTATGCTCCCCTAAGTTGATAACTCTTCCTAAATCAATAATTCTTCCTTTTCTTGACTCATGGAGTAATTAGGACAGCAGCTGCAACACAAGTTTAGACAAGCAAACACACACAAATATACATGGCTCTTCTCCCTCTTTGTTATTATAAAAAAAGGATGGGCAAAAGAAGTAAAAATGCAATAGTGTACATAAACATGCAATATAACAAAATATAACAAAATCATAACAAAACGCACATAAAAGATAACATAACACAATACTAAACCATTTAGGTCTTAAACATTACAAAACATAATAAGAACGTTGTCTAAACATAATAAGCTTAAAGGGAACATTGTCTTAAAATTTAACAAAACATAACTTAAACATGAAATAGAAAATAAGATAAAAGAAATATAATCAAGTCAAGGTAATCATTCATCTTCCTCCATTTCCTCTTCTTTCTCATCATCACCTTCTTCCTCTTCCTCTTCTTGTTGATTTTTACGTTGGTATTGATCATTGAGGAAAGCCACATCATGGTGAAGAGCATGAAGGTCGACATAATAACGAAGACCCATTTCATGAAATTTGTTGTAGAGAAATTCAATCGTATATCCACCTTCCGGAGCTTGAGGAGGAGCAAATAAATCATTTACATCTGTATTCTTAAGAATACCGTCCACATCCTTGAAAATTCCCATGTTCTTCAAACAAGCACTACTTGTAATCTAACTAGTCTTCCACATTTTCTTATTTGGTTCCCGATGCAAGGCAATGCCAACGTTTTCCAAAACTCTTGTGATAGCCCTTGCATAAGTATAGCCACTTCATAAACTTTTTGAGTATTCCATATGCCTAAGAATAACATAGGCTCAATTGATCTTCATCTCGCTTTTTATTGCAAAAAGTAGCATCATATCTAAGTCACCAATTTTAGTGTAGTTTTTCCCTTTTGGAATAAGTACATAGGCAAGAAAATATGTACCATTTGATCACTTACCAACAAGTTTTTACTGGATACAAAGATTTTTGTTGTAGATGACTGAGCTTGTCGCGTAAAAAATCATTGAAATTTATGGAGGATAATAGCTCTTTGACTGAAATTTGCCATAAGTCTTCTTTGCTTCACTGATAGCTGAACCTGCTCAGTGTCTGAGTCTGAATTTTGTGCGTTAGAGCTTTCAACCACGGGTGTTTTGCCTCTGGTAGATCTTAGAGGAGCCATAGAGAACTTGAAAAGAGAAACTATGGTTTGATAGTGGAGATTTTGGGATTTGGTGTGGTAAGAGAAAATAAGTGCTTTTGGAAGTGCTTATTTGATGTGAGAGAGAATATAAGGAGATGGTATATTTGATTTGGTAAATGGAGCTTTTATTGAGATAAGGTTGGGAAATGGAGTGATGTTAGTGGATAATAAAGAGGTGGAAAAGTAGATGGAAGGGTAGGTGGAGCAGTGTGATAGAGTATAAGAATAATCGATATTTGTTTATGTTATATGTTGAATGATTAATGAATGTGTGTCATTTTATTATCTTTTACCTATCATTCTCTTCTTTTTAATAATGTCAAAGGGGAGAAAAGTGTTATATGTTATGCTTGTGTATTTCTTTGTCTTAAACTTTTAAAGTACAAAGAATATTTTAAGATGATCAAATAAAATTAATTATAAGCTTCACATACAAACAAAGAGTTATACATCTTAGAGGGAGAAGTGTTCCGGAAATTACAAATCACCAAAAGAAATGTTTGTCATCATCAGAGTAAATGAATGGTTGACCAAAATAAAATATTTAAACATAATAAATATAACACAGCAAAAGAGAACTAGAAACCACAATTATGTTCAGGAAATCGATTACCAGATTCATCTTGATCTACATATGTACTGGATCCCATAGGAGTAGTCGTTGTTTTGAAATTATCCATATCAAATCGCTTCAACAATTCCTTGCAATACATGGATTGGTTGATGAAGATACTATTTTTTTTTATTTCTTAATTTGTAATTCGAGAAACTATCTTTCCCATCATGGACATTTCGAATTCTCCTTGCATCATCGATGGAAATTTTTCACATGATTTTTTGTTTGTTGAACTGAATATTATGTCATCAACATAAACTTGAACCAAAAAAGTATTACCTTTAATTTTCTTAATGAACAAGGTCTTGTCAACTTTACCTTTTTCAAAGCCTTTATCACATAAGAATTTGCTAAGTCTATCATATCATGCTCCCGGTGCTTGCTTCAAGCCATAAAGAGCTTTCTTCAACTTGAAAACATGTGAAGGATTCTTGAACTATTAAAAACTTGGAGGTTGTTTGACATAGACTTCCTCATTGATGTAACCATTCAAGAAGCACTCTTGATGTCCATTTGGTAAAGCTGAAAATTTAATGAACATGCATAAGCAAGTAATAAACGAATAGCTTCTAACTGTTAGAACATAGTTGGGTTCTACATCCTTGTAAGAGTTTTGATGATAACAAACACATTATATATATATATATATATATATATATATATATATATATATATATATATATAAAGAACATATATGCTCGCTAATAAAGTATCTTAATATGCAGGGAAGTTCTGATGAAAGAAAATATGTTATAACATAGTATGACTCTACATCCCTAGAAGTTATAATTATGCGAGCATAGAAGATGAGAGTATTATGATATAATCAGACACATCCTTCTTAGAAGAAAATCTACGTGACACGCTTATATGAAGAAGTTATGTTACAAATTCTGAATGCACCAACACTGTGAAACAGGATCTCTGATACTCTGATCTGTAAAGTTCTGAAACAAGAAGTAAGGGACTCCCAATATTAACTTCCATCTTCTGATATGAGCATGTTCTGAAGTGTTACAGTTTATTCATGGCAATTCAAAAGTAACGGCTGAAAGGGGACAATGATCTCTATTGTTGGAAAGCTTTTTAATTATCATTGATCAACATTCCAAAAGTATCTTCTTATGTCACTCTTGCATGACCTATATAAAGAAGACGAAAAGAAGAATTCATGTGACGAACTACTGCACACGAAAAAGAAAATCACATTTACTCAGTTTTTCCTAGTTATCTTAAATTGTGTAATACATCATTGTTGTGATAGTGTTTTATTTAGAAAACATATTTGTACACACTTTAAAATATATTACTTTGTATTTCCTTGAGAAAACCGGGTTGTGGTTTTAGACTCAAGAAGACATTGACAATTGTCATTGTGATTGTATAATCAAGTTTGATTAGTGGATTAAGACCTCGCTTGAGAGAGGAGAAATCACCTTGGCGGGTGGACTAGAGTAGTTTGAGTTTAAACGAACCAGAATAATCGACGTGTTCTTTTCTTTAAGTTTTAATCCCAATTAAACCCCCTTCTTGTGTTTTTCCATTCTTCAAGTGGTATCAGAGCATGGTCATGGGTTTGAATCCCCCGACTGACACTGGGGGGGGAGATTGTTGGATTAAAATATCCAGCGTCAACCTTAGGGATTCGAAGGGCTTAACATCCCACCCATGGGCGCTTAGTAAACTAGGTGCAACCCCTGAAAATGATTGTACTATATGGAAATAAAGTTGCATTTTGGCTATAAGCAATTGCTTTTAGCTCAGTGGTAAATGCTTGATCCTACAAGTTGGTATTAGAGCACCTGGATATGGGTGCAAACACTTAACCGTGTCAGAAAAACATCCAAGGTGGAAAAACACTATGGTGGGACCAAGTCAGAACATCAACAATGATTATCATGACGAGAAATACAAAATCAGCAGCAAACCCCCAATATTTAACAGTGAAAAGTTTGATTACTGGAAAGACATAATCAGAAGTTTCTTTCTAGCTTATGACGTTGATCTCTGGGATATAGTGACTGATGGGTACATACATCCTATTGATGAAAGCGGTCAGAAGATTGACAGAAAAAGAATGAAAGATTATTAAAAGAGATATTTCAGAAATCATCACAAGGCTAGAACTATTCTCTTAAGTGCTATCTCGTACACAGAGTATGAGAAGATCGCAAGCAGAGAATCAGCAAAACACGTGTTTGACTCCTTGAGAATGACGCATGAAGGCAACACGCAAGTCAAAGAAACCAAAGTTCTTGCGCTCATTCAGAAGTATGAAGCCTTCAAAATGGAAGAAGATGAAACCATTGAAACAATGTTCTCATGATTTTAAATTCTGGATAAAGGGTACTCAATTGCTGATCATGTAAAGAAGATCATCAGAAGTTTACCCAAGAAATGGAAACCCATGGTCACAGCTCTTAAACTGGCCAAAGATCTGAACAAAATCTCTCTTGAAGAACTTGTCATCTCCCTGAGAAGTCATGAGATAGAATTAGGACAAGATGAGCCTCAGAAGCAAGGTAAGTCTCTCACTCTGAAATCTAATAAATATGAATCCAAATTTTTGCAGGAAAAAAGCAGAAGCAGAAAACTCTGGTGGATCCTCGTTAGAAGAAGATGAATTGTTCCTTCTATCCAGAAGAATCAATCATCTGTGGATACACAGGCAGAGGAAATTCAAAAATTCTAGAAGAACAAGGAATCACTCTGAACAATCTTCTGGATACAGAAAATCCAATAATAGAAACATCACCTGCTACGAATGCAATGAACAAGGTCATTACAAGAGCGACTGTCTAAATCTTCAAATAGAGAAACCTAAAAAGAAGCTCTCTAAGGAAAAGAAGAAAAGTCTTATGGCAACATGGGATGACTCTGAATCTTCTGAAGATGGAACAGAATCAGAAGATGAACGAGCCAATATAGCTCAAACGGTCAACTTACAAGATTACTCTGAATCATCAGAATCAGAATCAGAATCAGTATCAGAGTCAGAAGAGGTATTCTCTAACTTTTCTAGATCTCGATTAGAAGAGAGTTTGTCAGAAATTCTTAAAAGATATCAGGAACTTCGAGCCAGAAACAAGAACCTTAAAAAGGATCTAGTTTTTTACTCTGAAGATACTATGAAACTGAAAACAAAAAACTCTGAGCTTAAAGAAACAATTTCTAATCACGAAAAAAGTTACAAATAGCTCAAAAAGAAATTGCTTCAGAAATTTCTAGTAACTCTGATAGAATCATAAAGGAATATGATCAGAGCTTTCAATAATTTATTGCTAAAAACATAGATAGAAGCAAGATGGATTCAACGATTTATGGAGTTAGCAAAAATGGCAGAAAAGGAATAGGATACAAGGGTAAAGCATCTAAACCTAAAAAGGTCAAGGATATGGTTATAAGATGCACACCCCTTTATTCTCACTTCACTTCTGGGCAAACACATGATATAAAATATACTAGTAAGGCATTTTCTGCTAAACCATAATTCAAACAGAATTTTGGAAACTCTAACAATCATGGATCCAAAAAGATATGGATACCAAAGGATATAATCATCTACGTTGCAGATATTTTTAACAGTAAGGTTGAAACACCAGTTTTAGCACCTGGATTCTGGATGCTCTCTACACGTGATGGAAAGAAAGCATATGTCCCAAATCCCGGAACTTAAATCTAGAGGATTCGCAAATTTCAGAGGCAATCAGAAAGAAAAGATTATTGGCTCTGGAACTATTGGGAACGGTAATGATAATACAGTATCAGAAGCTCTCTAAAGAATCTCAGTTGAATCTAGAAGAGGATGTCACACCTTTTCAAACAACCTCTAGTCAAAT